TCTCTTAAACATGCAAGATTTCAGGTGCGTCTTGCTACTTTTACTTACACTTAGGTCACGCTACACATACATGTACAAGCATATACAGTGGACCCTCAGCTAACGATGGCATCACCTAACATTAAATCCGGCTAGTGATACATTTTAGCGCAAAAATTTTGCCTCGGCTAGCGCTAAAAAACTCGCCCAACGCGATTCATTCGAGATGCATCCACATGTGGCCTGAGCGTGCCTCACTTGTCCCATGGGTGCCAGTGTTTACAAGCCAGCCACTGCGGTCGCATCCAAGCATACAGTCGGAACATTTCATATTATCACAGCACTTTTAGTGATTTTACCTGCAAAATAAGTCACCATGGGCCCCAAGAAAGCTTCTAGTGCCAACCCTACAGGAAAAAGGGTGAGAATTACTATGGATATGAAGAAAGAGATAATTGCTAAGTACAGAAGTGGAGTGCGTGTCTCCGAGCTGGCCAGGTTGTATATGAAACCCCAATCAACCATCGCTACTATTGTGGCCAAGAAAACTACAATCAAGGAAGCTGTTCTTGCCAAAGGTGCAACTTTGTTTTAGAATAAGAGATCGCAAGTGATAGAAGATGTTGAGAGACTGTTATTGGTGTGGATAAACGAAAAACAGATATCAGGAGATAGCATCTCTCAAGCGATCATATGTGAAAAGGCTAGGAAGTTGCATGAGGATTTAATTAGAAAAATGCCTGCAACTAGTGGTGATGTGAGTGAATTTAAGGCCAGCAAAGGTTGGTTTGAGAGATTTAAGAATCGTAGTGGCATACATAGTGTGATAAGGCATGGTGAGGCTGCCAGTTCGGACCAAGAAGCGGCTGAAAAATATGTGCATGAATTCAAGGAGTACATAGACAGTGAAGGACTGAAACCTGAACAAGTGTTTAATTGTGATGAAACAGGCCTGTTTTGGAAGAAAATGCCAAGCAGGACCTACATTACTGAGGAGGAAAAAGCACTCCCAGGACATAAGCCTATGAAAGACAGGCTTACTCTCTTGATGTGTGCTAATGCAAATGGTGATTGCAAAGTGAAGCCTTTATTGGTGTATCACTCTGAAACTCCCAGAGTGTTCAGGAGAAACAATGTCCTCAAGGCTAATTTGTGTGTGATGTGGAGGGCAAACAGTAAGGCATGGGTCACTGGAGACCTTTTCTATGACTGGTTACACCATGTATTTGCCCCCACTGTGAAAAATTACCTCCTGGAAAATAAATTGGACCTTAAGTGCCTCCTGGTATTAGACAATGCTCCTGGTCATCCTTCAGACGTGGCAGAGCGACTTTCTGGGGACATGAGCTTCATTAAGGTCAAGTTTTTGCCTCCTAATACCACTCCTCTCCTGCAGCCCATGGACCAGCAGGTCATTTCCAACTTCAAGAAACTACACAAAAGCTATGTTTGAAAGGTGCTTTGTAGTGACCACAGAAACTCAATTGACTCTAAGAGAGTTTTGGAGAGATCACTTTAGCATCCTCAGTTGTGTAAACATTATAAGTAAGGCTTGAAGGAAGTGACTAAGAGGACCTTGAACTCTGCTTGGAAGAAACTGTGGCCAGAATGTGTAGACAAAAGGGATTTTGAAGGATTTGAGGCTAACCCTGAGAAGTGTATGCCAGTTGTGGAATCAATTGTGGCATTGGGGAAGTCCTTGGGGTTGGAGGTTAGTGGGGAGGATGTGGAAGAGTTGGTGGAGGAGGACAATGAAGAACTAACCACTGATGAGCTGCAAGATCATCTTCAACAGCAAGAGGCCAGACCTGAGGAAACTGCTCCGGAGGAGGGGATAGAGAAATTGAGGAAGTTGACTACTTCAAAGCTTAAGGAAATGTGTGCAAAGTGGCTTGAAGTGCAAACCTTTTTTGATGAAAATCACCCTAACACAGCTATTGCAAGCCGTGCTGGTGATTATTACACTGACAATATTGTGACCCACTTTAGGAAAGTCATAAAGGAACGGGAGGTACAGGCCTCTATGGACAGGTATGTTGTGCGACAGAGGTCCAGTGACTCTCAAGCTGGTCCTAGTGGCATTAAAAGAAGAAGGGAAGTAACCCCGGAAAAGGACTTGCTACCTCAAGTCCTAATGGAAGGGGATTCCCCTTCTAAACATTAACAACATCCACATTCTCCCCTCCTCCCATCCCATCAATCATCACCAGATCTTCAATAAAGGTAAGTGTCAGTTTGTGTGTATTAAAATTAATATTTCATGTGGTAAAAAATTTTTTTTTTCATACTTTGGGGTGTCAGGAACGGATTAATTTGATTTCCATTATTTCTTATGGGGAAAATTAATTCGGCTAACGATAATTTCAGCTAACGATGAGCTTTCAGGAGCGGATTAATATCGTTAGCTGAGGGTCCACTGTATATACACACCCCTCTGGGTTTTCTTCTATTTTCTTTCTAGTTTTTGTTCTTGTTTATTTCCTCTTATCTCCATGGGGAAGTGGAACAGAATTCTTCCTCCGTAAGCCATGCGTGTTGTAAGAGGCGACTAAAATGCCGGGAGCAAGGGCCTAGTAACCCCTTCTCCCATATAAATTACTAAATTTAAAAAAAAAAACTTTTGTTTTTCTTTTTGGGCCGCCCTGCCTTGGTGGGATAAGGCCGGTTTGTTGAAAAAAAAAAAAACATAATCTTACTACCATGACTGTAAGGAAACGTATATCCTGGATAACAAGAGCCTTTGAAAAAGGTGATATAGTTGTACTCTAGAGTCTAGACTAAAATATTGATGTACATTAAGAGCTCTTTTTAAGGGAGGCATAATTGCAACCCTGGAGAATGTACATTGTATATATCAATTCAGACACCTAAATTATTGGAATATCTACAAGTTCTTAACTTTTAATCCCTAGAGTGCAAGTAAGAAAAACATCTTTTTATTGGCAGGACTGGTTTTAAATTTTCTCACAGAAATTATTCCATATGAGAACCAGAATCATGGTAATTGGTGCAGAATAAGTGCACCAAGAAATGACTTTAAAGCATAAAAATTTCAAGACTTTTCAACACTTTACTTTCTTATATGTACTGTATAAATTAAATCACCAGTAAACCTGTCTTTGAGGGGGAACTTGTTGATTAAGTTCTAAGAAAAGCATCCTGACAGCTAGGTTGTGATGCCATATTGGACGTGTGAGCAGTTAGTATCAAGAGCTTGTTTAATCAGACTATCAACAAGGCCTGGTATGAGACCAGGCCATGGGGAAGTGATGAACCTTTAAGCAAGTAAATAAATCACTAGCACCATTTTTTAAGTGAATTATGCAGTTAAATTTTTAGCATATTCATGCATTCTATATGTGTAGTATTCCTGTATGCATTTAAGTTTAATAGGTTTTAAGCTGGTTTTTGTTTTTAGAATTATTCTTCTTACTGAATTTGTTAATGTTATAGTTTAAAAATAAGCAAAATCAGTTAATACTGCATATGTAGAGCCCAAATATATTAAGGTGTACAGTGGAACCTCAAAAATCGAATTGCTTCCAACACGACCAATTATGTAAGTGTATTTTTGTAAGTGCTTTTATAAGTGTATTTTTGAGGGTCTGAAATGGACTAATCTAATTTACATTATTCCTGACGGGAATAAATTCATTCGGTAAAGGCACTCGAAAAGCCTTCTGGACCAAAGAAAGTTCGATATTTGAGGTTCCACTGTACTCTTTATAAAATAGCTCTTATGGAACTTCAAAGCAGGTACAGTAACAGGATACTTTGCAATACTGCAAACTAGTATATGAAAACCTAAGATATAGCTCATGACCAGACAGCACCATCGACTTGACTAAATAATGAAACATCTTTTATGAGAGATGTATGGTTTGTCAAAAATTTCAGAGATTGTAGTCTACAGTGCCATATTTCAATGGTTCATCATTTTCTTTTACAATAGGGCAATATTACTGAGGCTAATTGTATGTCAGGCAGCTCATGCACCCATCTCTTGCTGTTAGTTACCTCATTGAAGATGCTGCAGGAGGTTGCATTTTTATGTACTCTTGCCCCCAATTTTAGACTCTTCTGTTGGATTATTTGACATCTTACATTTTGGTTACCAGTGATCATAATGGGGCCCCTGTAAGCTTGGTATGGAGAGAAGGCTTTAGTTTTGGACCTGGCAAGAGGACATAATAATTGAGATAGCCAGGTGAGTTGGACATTCAGAAGTGGCAATATGGAGGGTGAAGAATGTGGCAGCCAGTCTCCCTACTCTTGTGGTTCCCGAGAGGAAGCCAGGTACTGGAAAGCAAAAGACTTCTCACACTGAAAAAATTAATAACATATCTTAGATAGAATGTCCACTGTTTTATAAACCTTGGTTTTGTGTTGGATGTGAGTGTTGAATTTTAAATTGCTGTTAAGCCATTGACCTAAGAATTTTCCTTCATTTTGTCTTAAAATGAGTGAATCATTTGTTATTATATTGAGTTGTACATTTGGAGCTCTGTTTCTATACAGCATGTAGAAAGGCACTGTCAATATTAAGAGTAAGTCTGTTGAAAATCATTCAAGTAGGAATTTTTATGAGCTCATCATTAACAGTGTTATCGAGAGAAACCACATCTGAATAAGAGATGACGAAAGTTGTATCATTTGAAGCAGGTCATTGATGCAGGTGAGAAAAAGCAGAGAGCCAAGAATACTAGTGTAAAGCTGGCCAAATTAACAAATTCTGGATGTTTTATAAGGTAGTTCTGATAATTGAATGTCTTCTATAGTATCTATAGTGATGAATAGGTAAAACAAAACATCATGTTGCTTTTCTCCTAGAATATGGTCAAATAATAACACTTTAGAAAGTAAAGCTGTTAGTACAAGTTTTATCAAGTCCAAGATAAAGTTTTTTTTGACTATCAGAAATTTGCTTGCCATTTCACCCATAGAATAGATATAAAGTGCTCTGAAGACGTGTATTGGTTATAAGAAATCCCACTGAATGACATTTTATTGATACATTTCAGGTTGGTCGAGACATGAATGCTCGTTATATCCTGCTCACCCATTTTTCACAGCGATATGCCAAAGTTCCACTTTTAAAAGAACTGCCAGCACAAGTTGGAATAGCATTTGACAATATGAAAGTAAGGAGTATTTGGTCTACATTTAGTTGAAATCTTGCACGTAAATTATATTTTCCTTAGTACAGAATTAAATGAAGTTATTACAGTTAACCTTCACCAAGGCAGGGTGGCCCAAAAAGAAAAACAAAAGTTTCTCTTTTTAAATTTAGTAATATATACAGGAGAAGGGGTTACTAGCCCCTTGCCCTTGCTCCTGGCGTTTTAGTCACCTCTTACGACACGCATGGCTTACGGAGGAAGAATCCTGTTCCACTTTGCCATATACAGTTGACCCTCGGTTATCCACCATTCCCGATATTGGCCAGTTTGGTTTTCGCCCGCTTTTTTGGCCGAAATTCTATCCTGGTTATCGGCCGTTATTTCGGAGATCGGCCATATTGGACGCGTCATAAATCACTCTTGAGCACATTAAATGTCTTATTTTAGGTTAATATAGACATTTTCATTAATCTATCTATGATATTTTCTTCAAAATTATATACGAAACACGTTATGTAGTACATATTTATATGCGATGTATGTTTAATAATCACTCTTGGGCACATTGTCATATTTTAGGTTAATATAGACATTTTCATTAATCCATCTATGATATTTTCTTCAAAATTATATAAGAAACACATTACATAGCATATAGCATATAAACATGCAATGTTTATATGCTATCAAGTGGAGAATTGGGTGGAGAGTAAACATTACGTTTTCTCTGATTCATTGTTAGAGAAAACTGGGAATCTGGCGTCTCGCCAAGTAACTGCCCTTCATATGCGTTTGTTTACAATTCTCGGCATGAATTATTCATTACTTCTAGCTTTGTTTATGATGGCATGTAAAGGTAGTTGTTAGAAACGATTAAACTCAGTGAACATGGTAATAATATGGCTGTGTATTTTATTGTGTATAGTGTAGCTCAGGGGGGCTACACTATACAGAGGGGAGAGAGAGTTGGGAATTCCCGACTCCATCTCCCCTTCTACCTTCTTCAATATGCCAACAAGAGTCTTCAATAAAGGTATGTAATGTTCATTTATCGTTAAAATTTGTGCTTTATATTTATTTCTCATTGTTTTCTGTATGTAAAACTATAGTTAATCTTTAAAAAATATATCTTTTATTAATATTTTTGGGTGTCTGAAATGGATTAATTGGATTTACATTAATTCTTTTGGGAAATATTATTTCGGTTTTTGGCCTTTTTGGATTAAGGCCGACCTTTTGGAACGGATTACGCTGATAACCGAGGGTCCATTGTATATTATTACAGTGGAACTTCGAGTTTCAGTCGCCCTGAGTATCAACTGCTTTGAGTTTTGACCACTTTTTTTTGGCGAACTTTTGTCCCTAGTTTCGGCTGTTGCCCTGAGTTTTGGCCAGCGTACCAGACCTGTCCACTTGCGCACCTGCTCAGCCAGCCAGCCTGCCAGCCAGCCACCCAGCCAGCCAGCTAGCTAGCTGTGTATGTAAAACTATGTAGTTATTCTTTAAAAAATGTATTTTTTGTGAATATTTTTGTTGGTCTGGAACAGATTAATTTTATTTACATTATTTCTTATGGGAAATATTGCTTCACCTTTCGGCAGTTTTGAGTTTAGGCCTAGCTTCTGGAATGGATTATGGCCGAAACTCAGGGTTCCACTGTATATTTATTTATTTAGTTTGAGCAAGGTAACTTTTATGAAAGGATTTCAGGAAACTGGTTAGATGGACGTGATTTCTCGAGGTAACCCTTTCTCTATTCACTTGTTAAAAAAGTTGAAGAAAATTTTGAAACTGGGGCATTTGAATGTGCATGGTTGTAGTACAGATAAGAAAGAATTGATTGTTAAAGTTATGAATGAAAAAATTATGTTTTAGCACTATGTGAAACAAAGATAAAATGGGTGGGAGAATTTCAATGGTAAAAGTTAAATGGGATTAAGTTAGTTGTATCTGAGAGAATCAGCGCTAGGAAAGATGTAGCGATAATCAGGGCCGGCCTTAAACCGATTGGACTGATTGCTCCCAATTGGGCCCCATGCCTAAGGGGGCCCTGCACCTAAGGGGCCCCTGCGCTAGAGTGTAATCTACTCTCGGCTTGTCAAGTATGCACAACAATATGAAGTAGAAAAAAAGGGGGCATCTGGAGAAACTTACTTGAGATCATCAATTCAGCAAGAACATTTGAACAGTTTGGCAATTATGTCCATTGAATCTTAAATTAGCAGGAGTTTAAACTTCAACAAAATTCTAAAAGATTTTGCAGAGAAAAAAGCAAGAAAATAACTTTCTCCTAATAAAAGGCAATAATAATATGACTCATTTATAGTTTACGAATGTTAACCCTTGGACTGTTTTGGCCGTATATACGTATGCGTCTTACGAGCCAGTGTTTCGGACGTATATGTACTCGATAATTGTTTAATATATTTATAGATGGGGTTGTAAGAGAAGTAAATGCGAGGGTCTTGGCAAGAGGCGTGGAGTTAAAAGATAAAGAATCACACATAAAGTGGGAGTTGTCACAGTTGCTCTTTGCTGATGACACTGTGCTCTTGGGAGATTCTGAAGAGAAGTTGCAGAGGTTGGTGGATGAATTTGGTAGGGTATGTAAAAGAAGAAAATTAAAATTGAATACAGGAAAGAGTAAGGTTATGAGGATAACAAAAAGATTAGGTGATGAAAGATTGGATATCAGATTGGAGGGAGAGCGTATGGAGGAGGTGAATGTATTCAGATATTTGGGAGTGGACGTGTCAGTGGATGGGTCTATGAAAGATGAGGTGAATCATAGAATTGATGAGGGGAAAAAGATGAGTGGTGCACTTAGGAGTCTGTGGAGACAAAGAACTTTGTCCTTGGAGGCAAAGAGGGGAATGTATGAGAGTATAGTTTTACCAACGCTCTTATATGGGTGTGAAGCATGGGTGATGAATGTTGCAGCGAGGAGAAGGCTGGAGGCAGTGGAGATGTTATGTCTGAGGGCAATGTGTGGTGTGAATATAATGCAGAGAATTCGTAGTTTGGAAGTTAGGAGATGCGGGATTGCCAAAACTGTTGTCCAGAGGGCTGAGGAAGGGTTGTTGAGGTGGTTCAGACATGTAGAGAGAATGGAGCGAAACAGAATGACTTCAAGAGTGTATCAGTCAGTAGTGGAAGGAAGGCGGGGTAGGGGTCGACCTAGAAAAGGTTGGAGGGAGGGGGTAAAGGAGGTTTTGTGTGTGAGGGGCTTGGACTTCCAGCAGGCATGCGTGAGCGTGTTTGATAGGAGTGAATGGAGACAAATGGTTTTTAATACTTGACATGCTGTTGGAGTGTGAGCAAAGTAACATTTATGAAGGGATTCAAGGAAACTGGCAGGCCGGACTTGAGTCCTGGAGATGGGAAGTACAGTGCCTGCACTCTGAAGGAGGGGTGTTAATTTTGCAGTTTAAAAACTGTAGTGTAAAGCACCCTTCTGGCAAGACAGTGATGGAGTGAGTGACGGTGAAAGTTTTTCTTTTTCGGGCCACCCTGCCTTGGTGGGAATCGGCCAGTGTGGTAATAACTATAAATAATAATTCTAATGGCTTCAAATCAAGCAGCAGAGAGCTGGTAGGCCCACATGTGAGAGAATGGGTCTGTGTGGTCAGTGTGCACTGTATAAAAAAGATCCTGCAGCATGCAGTGCATAATGAGAAAAAAAACTCCGACCGTGTTTTTGGATTAAAATGTCGACTTTGAGATGTATTTTCATATAGTATTTATGGTTGTATTCTCGTTTTCTTGGTCTGATTTGATAGAAATGAAAACATATTACAGAAATATAGATTATTTTGATTAGTTTCACAATGAAAACGATCTTGAAATTAAGCTCAAAGTAGTGGAAATGTTCGAATTTTACCAATGTTCAAGAATAAGCAAATCACACCACACGTCCAATACACATCAAGTGGGGAGTCTAATATTCTTTCACTAGTGCACTGATATTATTTATACCATTTTTACAATAATGCATTAGTCTGCATAACAGTAAATCTTCTATTTTTTTGTGTGAATAAAAAGTCAAATAGAAAGCAAGAGTACTATAAGAGGGGCCTGGAGATGTGACTAATGAACAGAGGATATGTTATTTTAGTGCCAAGAATGTCTGCATTGTTTATTCTGGACCCTATTTTGAAATTGGCATCTTTTTTAATTTGTGTGAAATTGGCCAAATTGCCAATTTCTGACCACTTTATTGGGTAGTTGAAATCAGTAAATGGGCAGTTTTTTGTACTCATTTGATAGAAATAGTGGAGTTCTAAAGAAATAGCTATGAGTTTGGTCGACTGGAACAATGGAATTGGCTGAAAATAGGGCTCAAATTTGTCGAAATCGCCGCTGCTTCTACATCGCCGAGATCGCAAACTTCGCGAGAGTATAATTCCGTAAGTTTTCGATCAAATTTCATCCTTTTGGTGTCCTTACCATCGGGAAAAGATTAACGTTTCATAAGAAAATATAATTTTTTTTTTTTTTCCCCAAAAAATTTTTCGACACCAGGAGACACTTCAGGATTTGGGGTTGTGACAGTCAAAGGGTCAAGGTATTTTAGAAGTTCAGAAAAATAGTTATGTTTCCAACATTGCACTTCAATTCTGATTTTTTCTGAACAAAAATAAATTAATATTTTTAATAAATCATTCACAGTCACTAAAGACAACAATTGAGTGGATGTTGGTGAATGCATTTTATTCTTTGGGCTTGCAGGAAACAGCCATTGAGCTGAAAGAAATTTATGTTAAGTTTAAATATAGATACTGTAGTATTTAACCCTTTGACTGTTTCAGGCCCCTTTCTGAAACTGTCATTCTATGTCGCTCAATTTTTGAAAAAAAAAAAAAAAAAAAAAAAGATTTTTTCTTTTGAAATGATAGAGAATCTTTTCCCGATGGTAATGACACCAAAAGTTCGAAATTTGGTCGAAAACTCATGGAATTATGCTCCCGTGAAGTTAGCGGTCTCGGCGACATATGCGTATCAGCGATTTCGCCGACTTTGAGCCCTATTTTCAGCCAATTCCATTGTTCCAGTTGACCAAACTCATAGCTATTTCTTTAGAACTCCATTTTATCTATCAGCTGAGTACAAGAAACCTCCCATTTACTAATTTGGACTACCCAATATGGTGGTCAGAAATTGGCAATTTGGCCAATTTCACGCTAACTAAAAAAGATGCCAATTTCAAAATAGGGTCCAGAATAAACAAGGTAGACATTCGTGGCACTAAAATAATATATGCTCTGTTCATTAGTCACATCTCTAGGCCCCTCTTATATTATTATTGCTTTCTATTTTGATTTTTTATTCATACAAAAAAATGCAAAATTTACTGTTATGCAGACTACTGCATTATTGCAAAAATGGTATAAATAATATCAGTGCACTAGTGAAAGAATATTAGACTCCCCAGTTGACGTGTATTGGATGTGTGGTGTGATCTATTTACTCCTGAACATTGGTAAAAATCGAACATTTCCGCTACTTTGAGCTCAGTTTCAAGGTCGTTTTCACCGTCAAAGTAATAAAAATCATCTCTATTTCTGTAATATGTTTTCCATTTTATCACCTAAGACCATGAAAACGCGAATACAACGATAAATACTATACGAAAATACACCTCAAAGTCGGCGTTTTATTCCAAAAAAACGATCAGTTTTTTTTTTCTCATTACGCAATGTGTGCTGCAGGATTTTTTTTGTGTGGTGCACAGTGACCACACAGACCCATTCTCTCACATGTGGGCCTACCAGCTTTCTCCCACTTGATTTGAAGCCGCTAGAATTATTGAGTATATATACGTCAGAAACATTGGCTCGTAAGACGTATTTATTCGTCGAAAACAGTCAAAGGGTTAACATTGAACTATCTCACTGGTACCCCTAATATTCCAAGAAACAATAATGGTGTGTTTCCATGCCTTATTGATGAACCTCAAAATTTCCAAGATTTAAAGGTGTTCAGTACTTTTCTTCAGCATCTTAGCTCCTCAACACTAATTTAGAGTCTAGTAAAACTGAAAATATTGATAAATAACAAAAAGGCACAATACCGTGACTGGAACGATACACAAATAACCCGCACATAAAAGAGAGAAGCTTACGACGACGTTTCGGTCCGACTTGGACCATTGACAAAGTCACACTAACAGAGGTGGAGCAGGACGGCTATATATAGGCAGGAAGAGGTGGAGGTAGTAGTAGTAGTAGTAGTAGTAGTAGTACAAGAATTGTATATAATACCGACAAGATGAAATTAAGACACATGCACAACACCCGGGCATCCCCATCGTAGACGTTTATTATTATCATTATAATTATCAAAACCAAACACTAAACCCACTAGGGTCATACAGATTGCCTTTATTACACATTGTTGTCTGGGTTGCATAGAATAAGATTTTAAATCAATTTTTTATTTGACTGGAACTCCCCTTGAATCAAATCTGAATGCCTCTCATTCTCCCAGATACTGTATAACCTTTATAACCCATACCAGTCTAACTTTTCCCCATGAATTTAATACTATTACATAAGGGAATATAGTACAATGGTCCCTAGAGTTATGATGGGTTGGAGTTATGATAATTTGGAGTTACAATTTACCCTCAGAGGAATTGTATTTTTAGTTGTGATTGAAGATACAATGTGCATAAAATGGTACGACCGTTGTGGGTCGCATCCTGGGGAACAAGATTAACCCAAGTTACTTGAAATGCTCTACATAACAATGGGGCTTTTTATATACATAATATGCCAGTTATGTCAGTTAGGTCTTTATTAGTTATATCATGTACTTGTAGAAACAAATATTATTATATGTACCTGGCAACATAACCAGGTGCATACACACTCATCTTCCTCGTCAGTTATTATTGTCGGCACACATGGGTGGGTATCAGCTAATCAGACATGATGGCTTGCCTTTTGGGAAGCATACAAGCCAATAGGAGCATTGGTTCTTGTGTGAGTGTGCCTTAGCCAATCAGCGATGGGGTACGTTGCCTCTTTGACAGCGTCTGAGCCAATGGGAGGGGTATTCTGTGAGGGGTGGCTTAGTAACCAATCAGCAAATGCTTTGTCTCTGTGGTAACATCTCAGCCAATAGCAGGGTTTGTACTGTACTACAGTTTGAAGGCAATAAGAGTGTTTTTGCAGTAATTCTGGATTATTTGCCCTTCATAATTGCATTTGTGTTATAATTGCACCATCCATTGCATTAACAAGTCATGATGGCTCGTAAAGTGCACAGTCAACAAGCTGTTTCTCTGAAGATCAACCAAGAAATTAGTGCATTGGTGCATGAGTATGGTTTTTCACAACCCACCATCTCTGATTATCAAGCAAATAGAAAAAATAAAGAATATTAACCCTTTCAGGGTCGGCAGGCCCTCTCCTAAACTTGTTCTCAGGGTCGGAAATTTTTCGAAAAAAAAAAAAATTCTTATGAAATGATAGAGAATCTTTTCTCAATCATAATGACACCAAGAGTATGAAATTTGATGGAAAACTTATGGAATTATGCTCTTGCGAAGTTAGCAGTCTTGACGATGTTTACGCATCGGCGATTTCGCCCACTTTGAGCCCTATTATTGGTCAATTCCAATGTACCAGTCGACAAAAATCATACCTATTTCGCTAGAACTCCATTTTGTCTATCGAATGAGTACAAGAAACCACCCATTTACCGATTTCAACTAACCAATAACGTGGTCAGAAATTGGCAATTTTGCCAACTTCACACAAATTTCAAAAGATGCCAATTTCCAAATAGGGTCCAGAATAAACAAGACAGACATTCCTGGCACTAAAATAACATTTCCTCTGTTGATTACTCACGTCCCCAGGCCTCTGCTAAATTTCTTTTGCTTTCCACTTTGAATTTTTATTCTTACAAAAAAATAAAAGACTTATGTTATGCAGACTACTGCATTCGTGTAGAAATGGTATAAATAATACCAGCGCACTTGTGAAAGAATATTAGGCTCACCAGGTGTCGTGTATTGAACGCATGGCATGATTTGTTTACCTTTGAAATTTAGCAAAAATCGAACATTTCTGCTACTTTGAGCTCAATTTCAAGGTACTTTTCATTGTGAAAAGAATCAGAATCATCTCAATTTCCATAATATGTCTTCCATTGTATAAAACGAGACCAGGAAAACTAGAATACAACCATAAATAGCATACAAAAATACACTGCAAAGTCGCTGTTTTAAACCAAGAACACGGTCGGAGTTTTTGTTTCTCATTATGCACTGTGTGCTGCAGGATTTTTTTTTATACTGTGCACACTGACCACATAGACCCATTCTTTCATATGTAGGCCTACCAGCTTTCTCTCGCTAGATTTGAAGGCACTAAAATTTATGCGTATTAGTACGGCACCAACCCTGGCGTGCAAGCCGTACTAATATGGCACCAACCCTGAAAGGGTTAAAGTGGCTGGTGACTAAGCTAGTAAAAAAAAAGGTAGAGAAATGGAAAGACTGTTGTTATTGTGGATAAGAGAGAAGCAGATGAAGGGAGAAAATACCTACAAGTTATATCTGACAGCATGCAAGGTAGAGTAAAAGTTGCACTTCTAGGGTCTTGGAGCAAATAACCATAAAACCATGTATTTTGGGATTTGAATTGCGATGGGTTTATTTATTTATTTATTTATTTATTTATTTGTTTTATGTCTTTGCAAATAGTACATTGAGATTTTGTATGTACAATAGTGGGTTGCAATGCAAAGAGCGCCTCTGTTATGCCTAACGCTTATGATTATAATAATTGGAGGTATGATGCATCGTCTTGAACAGATCAGTATTGTAACTCAAGGGACTACTCTGTTATATAATTTTTTAATTGAATTGTCCTTTTTATTATGATTGTATTAGTACTACTTAGCTATAGCATCATATATATATTCTATGAGAATGTTACTGCATTTTTTAATTTACAAACTGTTATACTGCAGATTTGCTTCAAGGACTTGCCTACTCTGCACCACATGTATGAAGCACTGGTAGCCATGTTTGCTGAAGATTATGATGACATGTTGGAGAAAACAGCGAAGCGTGCAGCACGGGAAAGGCTCAGACACTTAGGAAATCCCAAGAGCAAGCAGGAAACTTTAGTAAATCAGGCCCGTGTAGAAGAGAAAGTTAAATGAGAAAATATTGTTTGGTTTAAATGAATTTCCTTCAAAATTTAGTAATACTGCATAAAATTTTTGCTACTTTTATTTTGACCTAAAAATATTTAGCTGTAAAAAAATTATATACAGTATATTATTTTTATTAAATAAGACGGGTGAATTTTAAAGAAAAATTAATTGCATATATGCTGTTGATACTCCTAGCTTAATTTATTGTTGAAAATATAACACAATGATAAAAAAGGGGTGAAAATTTAAATTAACTTGTTTTTGTTGAGACGAGCAGTTAAAATTATTCAGAGATAATGGAGGTGTTCACGAAACCTCTATTAATACACAATAGCAGTAAAAAAAAAGAAAAAGTAAAAAATATGCCATGTTTACTGAGCACTAAATTAATGTGAAATATATCTCTTGCTGCTACTGCAGCTAAAGGCAGCTGTACATATTTTTGTTATTGTATTTATTAAAGTAATTAGTGCATACAGAATATATATCTCCAGAAACTGATATAAGTTTCTTTAATCATGCTGTTAAAGTTGTTTATCAGTCACTTGTTTCTAAATTTCAGTAATTTTCAAATAATCAATGAATTTCATATTTTATTTTCAGTAAGTTTTCCTTAGTCAAAAGCAGACAGTTCCATATTATTTACATACTTGCAACATTGATTTAGTGCAGGATTTTTTGTTTTTTGGGAAAAATGATTTATACTTCCATTTCTATAGGAAGCATACAAAGTTTTTTCATCATTTTAAAATACTGACACATGTCCTCATGTGATTATAAATGTCCAATGTACAATATTATGATATTTTAATAAACTAAAACTAAAGACAAGATCAGGCATGTTTTCCTAACTGTATGCAGTCCCAATTTTCTTCCTGTCACTTCTTTATCCTACCCTAATCATTTACCTCATTTTTTGCCATTATTATGACCCAACTAAAATAATCCTTACTCTCTAATCTTGAGTCATGGGTTGTATCATGCAATAGTAGTACCTCTTCCTACACTTATCCATAATTTTTATATACGAAGTGCTATCAAAAAATTCCCATGCTCTAATTTTCGCACTCTTCCTGGGTGAAATTTTTATCACAACTAAGCACTAAACCCAAAAGGGTCATGCAGTTCCTGGGTGAAATATGGTAGCAGTGTACATTACACTCCTTTCTAAGATGGATCATTCTGTTGAGGTTAGAGGGGCATTTTTTGTCGTGTTGGTGCACTGCAAGTGTTTGTGTATTATTATTATAATAAAAAAGCAGCGCTAAGCCACAAGGGCTATACAGCGCTGCAGGGTAGGGAAGGAAGCGAGGGTATTGGGTGGCAGAAGGGGTGAGGGATGATTAGTAGGTTACAGAAAACAGCGGGGCAGGGGATAGTGCAGGGGTAGAGGGTAGCAAGAGATTGAGGTTTGTGGAGTAAGTCAGTTGTTGTCAAAAAGTCGATGAGAGAGTCCGGATGAAAGGTGGGTCCATCAGCGAGAAGGGAAGGTAAAGAGAGAGCAGCGGAGCGAAGACGACGACGGAGGTAAATTCTGCGTGCTCGTTGATAAAGTGGGCAGTCTAACAGAATGTGGCTGACCGATAATGGAACCTGACAATTCTCAGAGAGAGGAACAGGGTGCCTCTCCATGAGATATCCACGAGTAAAACGAGTTTGGCCAATGCGAAGGCGGGGAGAGAGGAGTCTCCCAACCTCGACACTGGTGACAAGAAGACGGCCAGTAACCTATACTTGGTTTAATAGAACAAAGTTTGTTGTTGAGCAGAGCAGACCAACGTTGTTGCCAACAGGTGTGAAGGTGGGTAGCTATTACAGCAAAATAGTCCGGAAATGGAACACCTCTGAAATTGGTAGGTCATGTACTGCTGACTGCGCAGCAGTGTCTGCCTGTTCATTGCCCTGTACGTCAACATGACCAGGGACTCAACAAAAAACAATATCTTTATGCTTGGTAGAGATACGTTGTAGCCAAAGTTGGATACGTAGAACTAGGGGGTGAGGTGTATCAAATTTCTGTATAGCCTGTAGAGCACTAAGGGAGTCTGAGACAACCACAAATGATGACACAGGCATAGATGCGATATGAATAAGTGCTGCAAGAATGGCATACAATTCAGCAGTAAAAATGCTAGCTGAAGATAGTAAATGCCCTCGCACGACACTCTCTGGAAACACTGCTGCGAATCCGACGCTGTCAGAAGATTTAGTGTAGACAGCCTGTACTGTCTGCACAGACAGCCCATGCTGTCTGCCAGCTTAGTTGATATTTCGCCCCACTCAAGTGCTGCCCTTTGGGTCTGTCCAGGTCTCAGTCTGTGCTTTGGTGCCTTTCGTTCATCCCCTGTTGAGAGCCTCTATGCAGAAGCGATTATTCCAGCCTTGTCCTATTGCCATGATGATCATTGCCTTCACTATTATGTTCGATCTCATGACCTCCACAATCCTTCCGTATATAGGATGGTCACTGATGTTAGTAGACATTCTTTATTTGTTCGTCACCCCTGCTTACTCCATCCCTTTTCTCTCTGCCTCCATTCACTCTTGCTTTCTCTTCAGTTACCACTTTTCTATGTTCATGTAGCATCTCTTTTTTCGCTGCCCCCTTGGGAAGTTCCAGCTGTTCGAGTCTGTTCTTTCCCACTGCCATGTGCGAAAGCCCAACTCCCTATGTTGGCTTCCCACTCTTTTTCTTGATCACTTCCACTCTCATTCTCATGCCATTGCAGTGTACACCGATGGTTCTAAATCTTCTGACAGCGTCAGATTCGCAGCAGTGTGTCCGGCTAGCATTTTTAAGGCTGAATTGTATGTCATTCTTGTAGCACTTATCCATATAGCAGCTATGCCTGTGTTACCATTTGTGGTCGTTTCAAACTCCTTTTTAGTGCTTTACAGGCTATGTGAAAATTTGATACACCTCACCCCCTAGTTCTTCGTATCCAACTTTGGCTATGCCTTATCTCTAACAAGCACACTGTTTTTTGCTGGGTCCCTGGTCATGTTGACGTCAGGGCAATGAACAGGGGGACACTGCTGTGCGGTCGCGTACATGACCTCCCAGTTTTATGGGTTTTCCCCTTCACAGATTTTTGCTAAAATTGCTACCCCCTTCACGCCCGTGGCAACAAGGGTTAAAACCCCTTGGGGTTTTAGGCTTTTTTTGTTATAAAAAAGTAATAATAAATAATAATAATAATAATGTCAGATAACAAAAGATATTGCAAATGCTGTGGGATTTTTTTGGGGGTTTCATGTCAAAGCATTTTGCAAAATTTTGAACACGGGAAAAGTGGCTGTGAAATTTGTCCCCTGCTTCCTCTTAAAAGGGATGCCCCTTGGCATGGTGAAGAGGCTCTTGGTTGAGGAATTTTCCCCTTGGTCTTTTTCCCTCAGACCAAACCCAAAAATTACCCCCCATTTTCCCCCCCCTACCCCAAATCCTCCCTTTTTCCATTCTTTTTCCCCCCCCCTCACCCCTCCCTTTTCCCCTTTCCCTCTTTTTGGCTTTTGGGGATTTCTCCACAGGGCGCTAGTTCCTAGGTGGGGGAAAGGACCCGGGGTCCATCCCTTTCCCTTTGGGGTTTTTGGCGGTGGCGTAGTTTGCGTGGAAATCTGGATTGCCTGGGGATGTCCCGATCCCTCCCCCGGTACCCGGAGTAGTTTTTGGGTGTTTTTGGGCGACGGGTGTATCTCTGGAAGCCCCCTTTGGATTCGGGGGGTGGTGGTGAAGGAGGTATGCTTTGTGGCGGTTTTCCCGGCCCCCCCTCTCTTTTGTCCCCCCAAGGTAGCTCGGCAGTGTGAGGTTGCTATCCCGGTTGCTGTTTTTGGGCATGAGGGTAGGGTTAGGGCACGGGTTCCAGTGCATCTGCGCTACTAGGGGTTTGTTGAGGCCCTTTTTGGGGGGGGGAGTTTCCGGCCCTTTCATTTCCTGGGAACTTTTCCCTCCCCGCTCCCCCTTTTTTTTTCTTTTTTTTTTTTTTATTTTTTTTTCTTTTTTTTTTTTTCTTAAAAACAAAAAGCAAAGGAGAAACCTACCATGGCACCCTAGTCCTAAACCACTACCCCGGGCCCCTTCTTGATCCCGCACCCCATTCGACCCTGCCTTGTGTTTAGACCACTCTTGGGACACTCCTGATGCCCTGTACCTCTTGTGGTGTTTTTTCCTCCCCCGCTTCAGGTCCCGGGGGCTTCATGACCCCTTGATTTGTCTGAACTCCACTCTCCTTTGACTACGCTTCCGGCTTCTCCCCTAGGGTAGGCTTTTTTCGAATCGCCCCCCCATTTCACGCCGGACCAACCCCGGTCCTACTCCTAAAACGCCAACGTCAACTCCTGTGATGCTCCTTCTTTCCCTTCCCTTCTACTGGGGAAAAGACCGCACGTAAAGCACTCCCTCTCCACTCTCAGTTTCGGACCACAATGGACAAAATTTTTACTTTAAGCCCGACTTTTCTGCCTCCCTTTTCTGACCATAGTATTGGCAAAGCGTCCTGCGTCTTTTTTGGTAGAGATATTTATTTTTGCCTCAAGAGCGGTAGCGCATCGTCACTGTCCGATGTACCAAGTCTGATCTTTCTCTCCTTTCAAATATAATACTACTCCTATCACTATAAAAAAACATCTTTCTTCAATTCTTGTAGTGGTACTGTCATTCTGCCCATCCCATAGTCCAACAGAATTTCCATTTTCATGTGGCAATGACACTTTTGAACAGCGGGCTCCAGGTTTCCCCCAATCCTCAAAGTAGACACTTTGTCCTTCCTGCCTGGGGCGGGACGTTTACCCTTGCAATGTGGCTCGTTTAATTTTTGAAAACCCGAGAACTCCCGTCTTGTTATGTCGCGGGACTCGGTTACAAGTTCGAAAGGTGATACCTAACCAAAAACAATGTAGAAATTGCTGGTTTTGGTCCCCAGAAAAAAATATTGCAGATTATGGCCAAATCCCAGTCTGTGGTGCCGACCCCTTTTAAATACATCTTGCAGTCAACCTCCATCTTGCCTTAATTGTAATGAAGCTCACCCTTCGTACTCCGCCCCTTGCCAGGTCTATTAATTTTATTATTACAATAAGGGGGAGGAAAAACCAAAAAAAACCGGAGGATTATACAGCGCCTGGGGGGGGGGTGGATCATTCAGGTTTAAATTTTTGGGGAAGGAGCACAGATCCCAAATTCCTAAATAAGGCCCCACCAAATCAAGGAACCTTTCCCTTGGGGGAGGTCTCTTAAATGAAGTGAAATCCCTTGCCTCAAAAAAGGGGGAAGGTCTCCTTAGCTATGGCAGTTATCACCTCCCCTCCAAGGGAACTCCCCCTGTTTCTTTTTCTCGTGTTTTTCCAAAAATCCCCCCACTTTGGGGGTCCATTTCTGCAGCCCCCTTGTTGTTACCCCCCCCATTCCACTACGGCATTAATCCTTTTGCTGTCCCTTTGGGTTGACGTCCCGACTACAAATCAGTCTGTTCTCACTCTTTGCGTCCTTTCCTCCAAAACCCCAGTTCGACAAGCCTCGTACGCACCAATACCAATCGCCCCTCTACTCAGAAGTCCAAAAATCCCCATTGCTCAAAACTTCTTTTCCCCTTCCTTCCCTTCTTCCACCTCCACACTTTACTTTCCGTCTCTGTACCTAGTTCTTCCCCCCTCTTGGCTTATTACAAGTGTGGGATTTACCCCCCTCCTCGTATTGCCTTCCACCCCCTCCCCCCAAGTTTCTCCCTTTTGCCACCCCCCAGGTTTTTGCCCCTTTGTCCCCCCCCCACACTTCATCTCCAGTCCCTTACACTTTTCCTCCCCCCCTATTTGGTAAGTCCCTTACGTCCCCAAACTT